TTAGCTAAATTTGTCAACAGTTCATTTGTTCCGTCGCCCTTAAATCAATCGATTCCAAGTCGTTTCACACCAATCTCATCAACACCGATCGGTACTCTGATCGATGAGTTGTTCATCGAGTCATGGCAGAATTCGTCTAATTATTCGAGTTATTACTCGATATGTACACCATCGAACTGTAAATACACATATGTCGAAAGCAATGATTTTGTGCACATACTGACTACGATTCTTGGTTTATATGGTGGATTGACTCAAGAGTTGCCTATCGTTATTTGGGGCAGTCTGCAGATGTATTGGAAGATTCGTGAGCAAATCAAGAGACATCGACGTATTGTACCTATAAATAGTGACTGAGGCGTGTGATTTTCATGTTGCTTACTTGAGTTAGAAAATAAAATGACATATGTTCGTGTCCTCAGTTTTCACTTATGACCATATGAAAGTGTTCGATACAGAAATAGTTAACAAAAACCTATTCAATTCTGATAATTTTCTCATTTTTTTCCACGAAATTTATAATGGACGACGATAGCACATATGATTATCGGACGAACGGAACATGCAGCATCTATATTATTAAATGGGAATTTACTAGTTACTGGTGGATATAATGATAGTTATTTAAAAGGCGCTGAATTGTATAATCCATCGACAAATACTTGGACAACAGTAGGAAATATGAATATTGCACGAAAGGGACATACAGCATATCGGCATGACCAGCGTTACGGAATTTCAGTTTGACAAATTGTCACGCCCATATCTCCTCACTAATAAATGCAAACTCTCTAAAATGTTTACTGTGTACAGAGACTAGTTAGATCTAACACTGATATAAATTTCATTTACTCTTTTTTATAGAAAGCGAAGTTATTCAAAAAAATATGAGCCGTTACGGAATTTCTGAAACGGACTTGTTTTTAAGGGTTAGATGGAAGTTTAACATATTACTCTAAACTGAAGCTACAAAGAAATAAACGCTCTGTATAAACGTTGCTTGGCTTTGAATATACTTTGCAACTATAAGGTCATTTCTTCTTATGAATATCCATATCG